CGGATGAAATAGAATGCTTAGAAGGGACATGATGAAATTCTTTGATTGGCTCCTCCCAAAGCAAAGGAATGATCCATTATGAATACTATCTGGTCATTTTACATTCTCTACGATTGAATGGAGTGTCAAAAAATTATTGATCTAGCCAACTCCAAATTTATTAAGAGTAAGGCTTAGTTTTTTTATGATTGCACATTCGTTAAATAAAAGAATATTGAAATATCTTGGCTATTTGTACTGACATTAGCTTTTTATTTGATGAAAGTTGGAACTTGGCAAAATTTGAATACATGCCTCGTTCCTCATTCATGTCTGTGTATCATTTTGTGTATATATTGTATTTGTAGGCCCAATTTATTCTTTTATAGAATATCCAACTATTTGATAAAGGCTGAGAGCTTTTTCTGTGCATATTAGTTGGTACAGAACAAACTGTGAGAGTAGGAGGTCTTATTTATTTCCTTATCTTTTATGCACGTTTGCAGGATTCATTTGAGATTCCACGGGATCAATCTTCTAAGAATGGAGATATTGAAATGGGAACACAGATTGCTCAAAATTCTGGAGATTTAGGCTTGGACAATTTCTTTAAGCAGGTGCTGTAGACTAGTTTATATGATGGCTATTATACATCGGAAAGAAAATTGTTATCTCTGGCTCTGTTCTCTTGCTTTTCCCATTCAACTTGAGTTTTGTCAGTCCTTGTCGTAGTTTCAACTTGCGTTTTCCTTAATGTTGTTAGGTTCAAGAGATTGAAAAACATTCTGAAAAACTCGATAAGCTACTCAAAAAGCTTCAGGTATGGATCCTATCTTCTTTCTTGCTGCTGAACTCTTTCTATTCTTTTTTTTCCCCTTGTGAAATTGATTTCTCATTTACTGGTCTGCCAGCAATGCATGTCCATTTTTTTCTTCCCCCAAGTGAGAAAATTAATATGCAGTTTTTGTTCCTTTTCTTGCCTTGGGAGTTTAAATGACGAAACCCCAGTGATAAAATGAGAAGAGCAGACGTATTCTCTGATTGCAACTAAAACAGTCATGGACTACTATTGTATTGGAGGATACAAATTATGTACATAAAAAGTATGAGTTGCTGTTTAACAGTAATCATATCTTCTGGATGTGTGTAGCCTCAAAGAATGTCCCTCCTCTCTGCTGAGTGCTGATAGTGATACATATATAATTTGAGTTTTCTGGTTCACTTTCTTTTCAACGCTGTGACTGCTGAATAAGTAGGAACTTCATTACCTCTTAACTTTAGCTTCCCCTTT